CTCATCCGTTCTATCTATTTTCAGAGGATATTTAGCTTATATTTTCATCGGATATGTTATTTATATTTAATCGATACAAATACAAAAGTGTCGATACTTTTATGTCAAGTGTCGATACTTTCGAAAGGATAATTACCTATTTCTTTGAAAGTGTCGATAATTTATTACACGTACTTACGAAAGTATCGACACTTTCAATATATCCGGTATCATTTTACCGGTTTTATCATTTTGATACCGGTTTTATCATATTTTTACCTGTTATATCGTTGTGGATCGATAAATTTTTTTAAAGTATCGACACATTATAGGCTCTAAAACTGCTTCTCTTTTAAATTCTCAAAGTGTCGATCCTTATATAAAGTATCGACACTTACAATATATCTGGTAACGTTTTACCGGTTTTATCATTTTGTTACCGGTTTTATCATATTTTTACCTGGTATATCATTTTGGATCGATACATTTTTTAAAAGTATCGACACTTTATAGGATTTAAAACTGCTTCTCTTTTAAATTCACGAAGTGTCGATCCTTATATTAAAGTACCGACACTTTAAATGTATCCGGTAACGCTTTACCGGTTTTATCATTTCTATACCGATTTTGTCATAGTTTTACCTGTTATATCGTTTTGGATCGACACATTTTTAATTTGGATCGACACGAACCGGTAGCATAATTTTTTAATATTTCTTCATGACTTAGACCTACTTTTATAAGTATGGACACTTTTATAAAAATGATATATACTTTTTTTTAAAGTTATGTAATTTATGTTTCAATTTTTTTAATAGTGTTTCATGTTTTCCACCTACAATATTAATTTAATAATTTCATTTACATAAAAAAATTATTTGATTATTTGATATTTTATAAAATATTATTTAGAATTTAAATTTAACAATATTAATAATAAATATGTTTTCCACAGTGAAATAAGTATGGACACTTTTATAAAAATGATATATACTTTTTTTAAAGTTATGTAATTTATGTTTCAATTTTTTTTAATAGTGTTTCATGTTTTCCACCTACAATATTAATTTAATAATTTCATTTACACAAAAAATTATTTGATTGTTTTGATATTTTATAAAATATTATTGAGAATTTAAATTTAACAATATTAACCAAAGATAATAATAAATATATTTTCACAGTGAAATAAGTATGGACACTTTTATAAAAAGGATAGATACTTTACAATATAACAGGTAAAAATATGACAAAATCAGATTCATTATGATAAAACCAGTAAAATTTACTTTATATGTTAAAAGTATGGACACTTTTATAAAAAGGATAGATACTTACCGATAACCAAAGTTTACCGGTTACCAAATTTTTTAATAGTTTTTCATATTTTCTACCTAAAACATTATTAGTTGTCAACATAATAGGTACCGCTAAACCGAATTTATTAAATACATTTTAATATATCCGATAATACCGTATATTAACCGTATATTAACATGCCTTTCCTGAGACAATCCCCATTCATTCTACTTTTCTGCCGCCATTGCATACACTCTCATTAAAACTTCTTGGGTAAATGACGAGTTTAGTATCTACATTATGTAAACTTTCAATTTTTTAAAAACATATCTAAAGTTTAATTTTTTTTTATTTTAGTATCGTACCATTAAAAACTTTAAGTTTTGTTTGATTTTATTATCCCATTTAAAATTTAACGTTAAATTTTGAAAAACTGAAAGTGTATGAACTAAAATGAATCAAATCTGATAGTTTAAGTTTAGGTTTAGGTGCTAAACGCGTTAAGTTTTAACGGTGGGTACTAAAATAAAAACTAAACGTTAGGTATGGTTTTGAAAAAACTGATAGTTTAGGTATTAAAATGGACCTAAACTGATAGTTTATGTACTAAATATGTAGTTTACCCAAACTTCTTTTAATTACTTCATGGGACTATTCAAAAAAATATTAAATAAGTAAATGATTGATCTTATTTGATTCGTTTTAATAGTAAAGGGACCAATTAAGACAAAATTGATAATTTAGGTACTAAATTCGTTAAGTTTTTAACTGTAGACACTAAAATGAAATAAAAACTAAACATTAGTTTAGATATTAAATGCGTAGTTTATCAAAATCTTTTAATTACTTCAAAGGACTATTAAAAATAAGTAAATGATTGATCTTATTTGATTCTTTTTAATAGTACAGGGACCAATTAAGACTGACTTGATACGGTTCCTAAAACCAAGGGACTTGACAAGTGCTTTCACCAAATCTATACTTTATCTAAAATACTTGTATGAATGTCCATCTTGGAAGTCTGTTTTAAGCATTCATTTGAGATTCGGTCCAATTATTTACATAAACAAAAAAAAAATCTGATATATAAATTAAAAAAATAAAATTTATATTAAATAATAATTCATATATATTATGAATTGCAGGCCGCATATATGGCACGACAATTGGATCATCTACAAACAGAAGCAGGTGAAGGATTACTTCATCCAGAAGCAACTGGCTTTTATCCATTGATTTCCAAAAGAATTTTCAGGATTAAACCTTGCTAACAAAGGAATAAGATCCCTGACAATATATATATATATATATACCGAAAATTTTACATCATTCATTCGATCCGACCTAAAATAATAAAAAAATATTTTTATTTAATAAAATATTATATAGAGGGGTATTATTATAATTATTCTTAAATATATTAGGTAAAAAAAAATTTTGGGTCGGGTATTTTTCACCCTAAACCCGACCCCAACCCAATTTTTTTTAAAAACCCCGACCCAATCGGGTCGAAACCCGGCAAGTTCGAGTCCCATGCCCATATATATATTTGAAAAATGATAGTATTTACTCCATGTTTGAGTTTATTTATTATTTTTGAAAAATGTTTATATTCGATTTATTTAATGTTTGAATAACATATTCATTTAATATTCGTTTGATGCATGAACCAAGTGCCTTCCATGGTAAGAGAATTGTTGTTATTTCTTGAGAATCATGTTCAAACACCATAGATATCAAGGGTGTGAACGTTCAATGTCAAGAGGATGAAAGTTATTTTTGAACAAATAATGCCTTTGTACTTACCCCATATTAATCTTAAAAAACATTCGTTTTATATTCGGCAACAAATTTTTTTATCTGTTTAAAATATAAACGAGTTTATTTGTTTTTGTTCGTTTGTTAAATAAATATAAAAATTTTGTTTACATTTATTTATTTAATCTAATAAATAAATATTATATAAATGGTTCATAAATAATTTATCGAATGTTATATTTATTTATACTCTTAGCAGACAATTTAAAGGAGAACAAGGGGCGAGAGACCACAGAATGTGAAGCTCGGCTCTGGCTTTCACAGACAATTTAAATAGGTTTTTAGTTAGCTAGCAGCTCAGGTTTTAGGTTTCTAATATATTGATCAATTAATTCAAATTGGATATTATAGAGGCTAGAGTGAACTTCGAAACCTAATTTGCAGCATTCTTAATCACCATAATTCGAACTCTTGACTTTATTTAAGAAATTTAGTACCTCATCCCACTAGACCAATTGATTATTGATAAAAAAAATTATGAGAGTAAAAATTATAGATAAATTATTTTATTTATCAATTATAATAAATATGCTATTTTATCATATAATATATGTTAAAAATTTAATTATAAATAAAAATATTCTATAAATTAGAGAATGTTATTATAGGGTTTATCTTATTTTTCTTTCTTTTTTTTTCTTAGTCTTTGATAGATTTTTTGTCTTCATGTTTATAATCGATGACGACATCAGTCTTGATGTTGATCGTTGACTGTTGGTATTCATTGTTTTTAATTTTCTTTATTATAGCGTATTTTTTTTTTATTTTTAATTATTTCACCTTTATAATAATTCTTCTTTTGTATTTATGGCACATTTTTTGTTATTTGGCCGTTATTTTTGTTTGTCCTTTTTTCATGATTGAATTTGACATCGTGTGACTGATCAAGATGACGTTTTATTTGTTATCATGTCAATCTTCCTTGTTTTGGACCCTCGAATTAGATTTAGATACGCAATTTGCTTTCGTGGATAATATTTTCACGTCGCTCGATTTTGATTTGTGATATGTCAGTAGCTTTTTAATAGATTCATCCCCTTTTGTAGTTCGTTTGTCGATGAAATCATGTATGTTTATATCTATATTTTATTCGAGTTTATTTGATAACTTTTTTTAACTTTTTTCCTTGTATCATTGTATGATCATTGTGATATTAAATGGTTTATTTTCTTGTGTTTAGAAAAATATCTTTATTATGTGTTTAATTTACTATTGTAAATCTTCATTATAGCCGTTATTACATCTCTCTCTGCCTCCCCCCCCCCCAAGTCTGCATGCAATGATGTGTAGACTTCTACCTTTGCATTCTTATGATCAGCATAGATTCTTTTAGGAAAATAATTGTTATAATATGTTATCTACCTTATTTAATGTTTCATTGAGATATATTTTAAGTTTCTTTTTATTAATTTAGGTTAAGTATCGTAGGATATATGTTCAAAAATAACTCATTATATTAACCATTTGATATTAAATATTTATATTTTTGAAAATTTTAAAATTTATGATGTTCGAACTCGAATTCTTAAGAATTAATAATAATTCTTTTATTATCAAAATATTTTGGTTCGTGATTTCGATATTTTAGGTTTTTTTATTTAATATTAAAATGTTTAACGATACTTATGGGACATGCAAAAGAAAAATCTCAACATTTTCTCAAATAAATAAAAATTAAATGATTCCGAATTCCCAAACAAAAAGCTTCTGTCAACTGCTTTCATTATTGAGAAATCTTTCTCTTTCTCTCCCTTAAACATCAAAAAGAGCCACCGCCCTCATCCACCATTAACAGTTGATGATATCCAAATCAAAACACAGCTTCACCCTTTTCCCACTGTTGGACTAATCAATACCGAAGAACGAGGCGGGTTTGTTTTTTGTTCCCTTTTAAAACAATCTCTATGGACCATCATGACCACCACTCTTCTTTGGTTCACCTTCCTCGAGACCCCATCGCCACCGTTAAAACCACCACCACCACAGAGTCTGAAAACACTAAAACCAGCACCAATACGAACCCTCCAGGCGGCAACAACAACAGCAGTAATGGTACAAGGAAGTGTAAAGGCAAAGGTGGACCTGATAATAACAAGTTTCGATATAGAGGCGTAAGGCAAAGGAGTTGGGGTAAATGGGTGGCTGAGATCCGTGAGCCTCGTAAACGAACCAGGAAATGGCTCGGGACTTTCGCTTCAGCTGAGGAAGCGGCTAGAGCCTACGATCGTGCTGCTATTATACTCTACGGTTCCAAGGCTCAGCTCAATCTCCAACCCTCGGTCTCCTCTTCGTCTTCCTCGTCTCGTGGTTCTTCTTCGTCGAGTTCTTCTTTTTCTTCGTCGACTCAAACTTTACGGCCTTTGCTTCCTCGACCTTCGGGTTTTTCTTTTAGCTACTCAAACCCTAGCACCCACCAAGCTTCTTTAATGGCTTCGTCTAGGTTTATGCCTTATGGGGTTTATCCACCCTCTCTGGTTTACCCATCCATGGTACGAAACCCCCAGTTGCATGTGGTGCAAGAAATTGAACCTAGTGTCATTGTTAACCCTAGTGACCCGACAGTGACAAGTACAACCTCCTACTCGAATAACCCTAACCCTCAACAGCAACAGCAACAACAAGGTTCTTTGTACGAGGATGTCAACTCACTGGTGGGTTCCGTCGGTTCGAGCTTGTCTCTATCGGCTCAAACCACGGTTGCACCAGTTGGTCCGGATCCGGGTTTAACAGTTGGATCCGGATCCCCATCTATTTGGCCGTTAACAAATGATACTGATGAATATCCACCATCTTTCGTCTGGGATTACATGGATCCTAATTTAATCTTTGATTTTTGAGGGACTTGAAAAAACAAATTAAAAAGCTGTTCTCTTTTAGGGGTACTTCCCCTTTACACTGTCTTCTCGCAGTTTTGCATGCAAGTTTCCATGGAGAATTTCAAAGGATCTGAAGATGAAGAATCAAAGGATAAGAATAGGAGGTGTGGGTATTAATTTCTAGGGTTCTATATATCTACAAGAGAAAGTGCAAGGAAGAGAGATTGCTTTCATTTTCAGTACATTAAATAGTTGCATGTTTTGTCTCTACACTGCCTTTGAGAGATTTTCAAGGTATACAAGGCAAAGGCCATGGCTTTATATCTACACTATATTGCTTAATTACTTTGTGGGGTTCTGGTGGAAGGAAAGTTGATCAACTTCCATTTAGGGTTTAAGGCTAATGTGGGTTGTGTTGGGAATATGATTGAATGCAATAAAGCAATAAATTTGGGTGTGAATCTCCCAACTTTCATTACTAGATCCATTTCTTTTCCAATGCATTTGAGCGAAGGGATGGATCGAGAGCGGACTGGGGTATCTTGTATAAACGACTATCCATATTTGTCTGTATAATTTTCATATTTGCTGCTTAGCACGAATCAAACGATTTTAGTAATGTTATTTCTTGAAATCTTGAGTTCAGGTATTAGGAATACTAGATCGTGGTAAAAGAGTTGTTATTCTTTGAGGTCCAAATTTAAACTTTTCTATTTTTGAAATATAACAATCGTTAAAAAACACATGTCACGTTTTTTTTTTTGTTATTTATTGAGCATTTCCCTTTTCCTATCCCTTGAAGAATAATCTGACTTGATCTCCAACCCCAAAGCAAAATTTGTCCTTCTATTCATTCCATTGCCTTACTTAATGGCACCCTTTAATTTCCTAGTAACATTTCTTATTAGTTATTTACTTTCCCACCAACATTATTTTTCACTTCTAAGCAAAATCTTCACAATCTCTTCTAAGTCAAATTTGTTAAGATTAAAAATCATTTGAAAGAAGTAGGATATTACAAAGTGAACCATGAGTTCCAACAAAATAATTTTGGGTAAACTTTGCATTTAGTACCTAAATTATAAGTTTTAATCCGTTTTAGTATTTAAACTTTCAATTTTTTAAAAATCATACCTAATGTTTAATTTTTGTTTCATTGTAGTCCAATTGTTAAAAACATTCAATGTTTTCCCAAAAATGAAAGTTAAATTTTGAATAAAATGAAAAAAAAAATTAGGTATGCTTTTTTTTAAAAATGAAATTTTAAATACTAAAACGGATCAAAACTGATAATATAAATACTAAACACCTAATTTACCCAATAATTTTATAGAATCTTTAAATTATTTATATTTTTAAAATTATTAAATTAAAAAATTAATATGTTTAAAGTCATTTGAACTACAACTTCTAAGATATTTCAATTTAATAAACTTTAGTTTCTATCTAAACACTCACAACCCAACTATATATATATATATTTACCTTATTGGGATGTATTCTTCTGCTGTCAACAAAGGAAGGTTCATTTTATGTTTTACATGAATCGGAAAAAAGAGGAAAAAAAAAGGAAGGAGAAAAACCCACACCAATCCATAAAATATTCAACATATGTATTATTAGTAAGTTGTTAATTATCCTTTTTGGTTTCTTTGTCGGTTCTTAAGATTTTGTCTTGACTAATTCAGGTCACATATATGGTTTTGGTGGGTGAGTCTCTCAGCGGGATTTTCTACATTTACAAAGACTCCAACTCGAGACATGCTTAAGCGATATCAAGATGCTTGTCACTTGAATCAACCCGTTGGTTGAGTTGTTATTTACCATGAGTATCATTAGATAATCATAAATTAAATGTTAAGGTCGATAAAGTTTTTAGAATTTTGAAAATAATTGAATATATTAGGTGACCTTAGTGATTAAAGTTTAAAGTGGGTGTTGTTCTTTCTAGAAGTCTCAAGTTTGAGCAGTTACATATATATAGTGTGTGTACATTGTTAATGGATAAGAGAGATTCTGAATAGATAATAATATATTCAAATTGGATCTTTTAATCGATAAATTAAATCAATTAAGTCCTCAAATTGAGAAACTGAATTAATTAAACTATTTAGATAATTTTGGTCGTTAAGTCTTACTAGTTTTTTCCCAATAAATTATTGTCACATAGCACATTGTAGTTCTATCATATGAAATTTATAGATTTTTTTAAAAATCATCAAAATTATAAAATAATTTTAATTTTTTCTAAAAAAATGCTAAATTTCTAAAAATATTACTTGATAACATTGTGATAAAACATGTGACATCAATTAATAAAAGAAAATATTCAGTTTGACGATGAATGTCGATTAAATGAGTGAATCGATGAAATTTTAAAATATATAAATATAATTGGGTTTAAAATCTTAATTGATTTTTTAAAATTAAGCTAAGATGATTATAATATAATATTTTTTCAAAATACTCTCAATCATTTTATAATAAGCGCTTAACCACTCTGACTACCGTCGTTAGTGCTCAAATATGTGACATCTACACATAACAACCATTCTTTTAACCACTGAGATAATTTGATTTGCGCAAAATCTTATTGATTTTTAATACTCTTTAAGCCTAAAATAAATTAAAAAGAACCCTCTAAACTTTGGCCATTTTGCTTAGATAAGCTCGTATATTTTTTGAGTACTTGAATAAACTCTCGAGTCTTGACCATTTAAATATTATTTATAATAAGCCCTCAACTGTTAATTATAACTAAATAAATTCAGTTTTTACTTTGAAATACGACTGAAGTATAAATGAAACTACAGTTGCTTATTTATTGTAAAAAAGTATTGGGATTGTAGCTAAATGAAGTTGTAGTATTTTAAAGGATAAAGTACACAAATGGTCTTTCAAGTATAGGGTATTACTTTTTTAAGTCCTTCAACTATTAAAAGTTATAAAATGATCACCTAACTATTCATTGTGTCATTTTCTTTTAAAAATTGATGGTTGTTTGAGTTGGACGTTAACCTACTTACTGAGATATGATATAGTATGAACTCAGAATCTTAAATGACTATCATATCTCAATCGGTAGGTTAATTAATGTCCAACTCAAACTACCATCAATTTTTTTAAGGAAAAATGATAAGTTTGGAACACAATGAATAGTCGAGTGATCATTTTGTAACTTTTAACAGTCAATGGACTTAAAAAATCAATATCCTATAATGAAGGGACTATTTTATAAGTTTTAATAGTTAGAATACTTAATAAAGTATGATCTATAGTCGATAGATCATTTCTGTACTTTACCCTATTTTAAAAAAGTTGTAATGTTTTAGGATAGAGCTTAAAGCTTTAGAAATTGGTATCCTTTTATAAATACTAAAGTAATGGTGTCCACTTTAATTGTAAGTTCATTTTCAACCGTAAAACCTGCACCCGCAACTATAAAAGCAACACTTGGGGACAAAGATCCTCCTCCCCCAACTGTCCCATTTCAACTACCGGACATGCTTCTTCTTCCTCCGCTATAAAAAAACCTCCTTCGAAAACACCCTTTCTCCTTCTCCTTCAATGGCTTCTTCACAACACTCCCGCCCTTTCCACTGGCACGTCGCCGAGCTCGAAGACCGTCACTTCCAAATCCATGGCCGAACCCTCTTCTTCATGGTCGTCCTCATCCTCGTCACCCTCATCTTCGCCCTCATCTTCGTTTACGCCCGATGGGTCTGCAGTTTCAGGCGTCACGCGCCTTCCCCTACCTCTCACGCGCTACCCGACTCTCAGCCGCGAGGACTCGACGCCGCTTTCATTAACGCTTTGCCGGTGACTATGTTCTCGCTCGAGGAGGCGACTCAGAGCGAGTGCTGCATCTGCCTCGGAGTGTTCGAAGACGGCGAGAAAGTTAAGGTTTTGCCGCCGTGTAAGCATTCGTATCATCCCGAGTGTGTCGATCGGTGGCTAAGTACTGAGTCCAGTTGCCCGCTTTGCAGAGCTTCTCTCCGAGTTGAGCCTGAACCAGAGCAGCTTCAAGTTATCGTAACTCAGTGACGACAAAAAGATTGAATGAATATTTTTTTGTCTGAATTATATTTGTAAATGACGTTGATCCTTGTTGTAAAGCATCAGTTCACACTGATTTTTGTGTGTGCTTTAGACTGCCAAGTGCTTGATGAATTTTGCTCAACCAATTATTTGTTTTTCTTTTTCTAATGAAAAGGAATATGTTTATTTGTTGAGTGAAGAAATCAAATTCATGCTTCTTTTCTTTTGATCCTCCTTTCAATTTGTTGATGTTGTTTCGATAAGGTGTCAAAAGTTTATGTTTTAGGTCATTCCATGTTTAAATCAACAAAAGAAACCCTTTTAGATAAGAGCATTCTTAAATAATATACACCAATCAAACGATCTCGATGATAAAATAATTATTGTTATTCTTTGAGGTTCAGGTTCGAGCATCAAAATGTTAGTGGTGCTATCATTCAATATCAAATAATTGAGAGTTATCTTTAGACAAATATTGTCTTGTACTAGTCGATGACTAAAAAATACTATTTTTAAAAGTATGTTATAAATAGGAATAGGCATAGGTTGGGTTTTCGGATAACCCGACCCGACCTAAAAATTTATACCTCCACCTGAAATTCGATTCGACCCGAGTTTAAAGTAATTCCACCCAACTCGAAACCCAACCCGACTTCTAAGATAAAACCCGACTCCGACCTGACCTGTAAAATTATAAATTTTATTTAATAAATATGGACTAAATTGAAAAAAATAATATAAAGAGGGGTATTCTTGCAACTATCCCTAAATATATAAGGTATTTTTATATTTATTTTTTGAGTCGGATCGTGTTGAGTTTTTTCTCCCTAAACCCGAACCAGACCCGACCTGAACCTATTCTCTAAAAAACTCGACCTAACCCGATTCAAACCCAATTTTTTAAAAAAAAATTCGACCCGATCGAGTCGAGTTGGGTCGAAACCCATCAAATTCAGGTCACATGCCCATCCCTAGTTATAAACCCTTTAAAAAACCCCATTTACATCTTAGTATAACATTTCTCAACAAAAAAAATTAACTTTCTTTTAAGTTATGTGATATTTGAATTAGAAAAAAGTCAGTTATAAGATGCAGGGTGAGAACAACCTTTTACATTAGGGTTGTAAATTTTTAAGAAGTTATTAATAAAAATATAATTATTAATAAAAATATAATTATTAATAAAAATATAAAAAATATATATATATATTGAGATACAACAACTCTTTTGATCCATCTAAGTTTACGTCATTTTTGATAGGCTAAGATATTTTGTAAATTAGTCTTAGGGAATGAACTAAGACATATAGGAAGTTGACTGATCAAATACAATGGATAAGTAATCACCAAAGGTTTATACCTAATGCATTCACACTAATAAGTTATAGGCTTTATTCACGATCTCATGTTTCAATTCTATTCATTATTATTACATTCTTTTGATATTTGAATCATTGTTTTTGTATCGTTATTCTCTCTTAAAAAATAATTATGACACACAGGATCGGACCGAAGGGACCTAGGGCACTCTCGCACTCTTTAAAAATTTTAAATTTCTTTGTATTTTAAATATTTTCTTTATACTTCATATGAATTATTTAATTTTGTACCCTGAGATTTTATAATCTCGCATTCTCTAAAATTTTAATATACTTTTTTATATTCATACCCCTGAAACAAATTCATGGGTCCGTCCATGATGACACAAGTTATTTTTAATTGACAACTTTTTTGGGAAATAAACTCCAAGAAAATTATATTTTATGTAGCAAAATGAAAAACATGTATAATTATTAATTCAGGAGATAAACAATTTTTTTTTTGAGAAAAATGAAATCTATGTGATTTTTTTATAATATATATTGTGGGAGGGGCCATGACTCCCAAAATTTTTAGAATTAATTATATTTTAGGTCCTTAAGGGTTTTGAAATTATATAAATTAAGTACGCCCCTTCTAAATTTTTAGATTTAATTACTTCCTAGGTCCCTATTAGTTTTGAATCTAGGTAAATTAAGCTTTGACTCCCATTATCGGTTTAAATACTTCTTAAGTCCCTATCAATTTTGGTATTTGGCAAAATGAGGAATATTCTCATTGTTTTTGTTTAAATACTCTTTGGATCCTATCAATTTCAAACTTCAACTAATTAAATCCCAACCTCCCGTTTTTAATTTTATTATTATTATTATTATTTATATTTGTCGCTGTAATATATAATCATGTTTTCATTCACGTATATCATATTATAAATGATAAAGTACACGTTTAGTACTTAAATTATCAGTTTTGATATGTTTTAGTACCTAAACTTTCAAAAATTTCAAAATCATATCTAACGTTTAGTTTTCATTTCATTTTAGTACCCCCGTTATTAAAAGCTTAACGTGTTTAGTATCTAAACTATCAATTTTGGTCCGTTTTAGTACCTAAACTTTCAATTTTTTTCGAAACTTAATGTTAAATTTTGAATGAGTGTATTAAAATGAAATAAAAACTAAAGCTTTTAACAGCGGGTACTAAAATGAAACAAACACTTTTGATATGATTTTGAAAATATTGAAAGTTTATGTATTAAAAGGAATCAAAATCGATAGTTTAGATATTAAACGCGTGATTTACCCTATTATAAATTACCGAATAAACAATTAATATATCAAACATAGACGTAAGAAACAAACATAAAAAAGTTGATGGATTGTCCACTAATTGCTAACATTGGACACTGATACAAGACATAAGAAAGAACCAATATCATTGTTCGGTAGTTCAAACATCTAGTGAACCGATGTATGTCTTATCACATTATTAGTTCCATGTACCACTTAGTCTTCAACAAAGAGAGGAAATACCACCTTTAAGTGGGAGCATGGTGGAGTTTTGATTTGGCAATCTTCCAAAAGTTGAACCTTTTTTTCAACTTTGTTTTAGTAAAGTTGTACCAATATCTTGCGTTTTATCACACAATAAAACAATAAATATATTATTAATAGTGGGTCGGAGTCGGTATTAGATGAGAGATTAGATCTTTTAAGGAAGATCAGAAGTTCGAATCTTAACGGCACGACGAGTTAAGAAAAACAGTACTTGGTCTAAATTGTCTAATCGTTTTATGTGATTAATATATGATATCATATGTAATTAAAATTTTAATAATTAATATAGATAAAATAAAAATGGTATGAAAGTGACTATCATTCTTAAAGAAAGAGAAGCACTTTACTACATATAAAAAATAAAAATAATAATTTAACACTTAACCATTAAGACCTTGAAAAGAGAAAAAAAACACTTAGCTACTAAGAAGTCCTTCTTAATTCACGGTGGAGGTCTTTTGAATTCAAGAAAAGGAGATGGTAATGGATACCTAGATTATCCATTACAAATTGTCCCCTATTCATATGCAAGCAACTCGTGGTGATTGTTTTGATTTTGGATTAAATTTACTATTTTATTTTTTCTAAAAAAATATTTAGTGAAAAATGGTCCATCGACTATAGTATAATATTTTATTGATTTTTTTGGTTATTAAAAGTTGTAAAATGGTCCCCCGACAATAGGGAGTTGCTTTGTTGAGTCCCTCGACTATTAAAAATTACAAGATAATCACCCGACTATCTATATATGTTCCAAACTCATCGTTGTCTGTTAAAATCTTGACAATAGTTTGAGTTATACGTTAACTTGTTGATTGAGATATGATAAAATCTAATATAATAATCTCAAATGAATATCATATCTCAGTCAACATATAAACGTGCAACTCAAACGAAAGTTAATTTTTTAATAGAAAATGACTAGTTTGAAACATAATGAATAGTCGAGTGACCATTTTGTAACTTTTAATAGTCAAAGGACTCAATAAAGAAACTTCCTATAATCATAGGCCTATTTTGTAACTTTTAATTATCAAAGAACTCAATAAAACAATATCTTATAATCGGGAGACCATTTGTGTGCTTACCCAAAATTCATACGTTAAAAATATATTTTAATCAAAATTTTCTTGAAAAGTGAGTTATTTAATTTCTTTTAAAAGATTGAGATCAAATTACTTTTTAAATTTAATTTTAAAAAATAACTAAATCAATAAAATACGTAAACATTATAAATTAGACTTATCGTATTTTACTTCTAATCTACCAATCTTTATTTTAATGTAAAATTTATTGTTATTAATTTTATGTTATATAAATAAAAATATCAATTTATAAAAATTTTAAAGTATTATCTTTTAAAACATAATTGATTTTTTATTTACATTTAGTCTTTTAATGTTTTACTTATTTCCATATATGTTTACTTACTTTTATATGTATCAACAGAATTTAAAGAACGATTCTAATAATAAAGAGAATGTTATTTTTTAAAATAATTTAAATATATGAGTTAATTTACCTATATTTAAAAAAAAATACAAATATTACCTTCTAATAATGATAGAATCTGAAAAATAAATATCTACCTACGCATATTCATATGTTGTATTTAAAGATATAGAAATTAATAGGTAAAATGGTATCAGAAGTTCCTCTGCTTTTTTGAAAAATTATTGTGGCTATCGTATTATTTTCATCTCAATGTGGATTTTTAATTCAGAAAATAAACTTGACGTGGCCTTTGATAAACGTTTTTCGTTGATGATCGTTACAGTGTTGATGTGGCGATTCACGGTGTTAGCGTGGCGGTTCACGATATTGACATAACAGTCCACGGTGGTTGATAACGTGATGGATAATATCGTAGGTGAGCTAAATTAGTAACTCAAATATGACAGATGAACTTTTATAACTGGACCACCACGTCAGCACTATGAATTGTCACATTAACATCGTAACGATCAACAACAAAAAAATACTAATTAAAAAAAATCATATTTAGTTTTTATCTAAATTGCAGAATCACATAGAAATAATAATACAAGGTTCATGTTGATTTTTTCTTTCTTTCAAATGATACCTATGATGCCTTCCTTTCCTGCCAAATTAATAAAAAAAAAACTGGGCTTAAGTTTGCTTGACCTAATATATAATAT